TTGAACCACCAGCCTTCTGGTTAGCAGTCAAGTGTCTTAGGCACTATGCTACCAGAGCTCCCTTTTGTCATACAGTACTTGACAAATGCTCAATAAGTACTTGATGCATGAATGACTAAGTGAATGAATGAATGAATGTTGTTGCAGTACCTGCTTCTGTGACGGGAGAGCTGATCTGGGAGTGAAGTCACACTCATCTATTAAGAGGATGCAAAGTTCTGAAGAGTGGCACCTCAGGACTTGTTCCTGCTGACTTAGCGTATGTTTATTATATGCCATGGACTTGCACTGAGCTTCTGTGAGTCCATCAAGACAGTAAATGATCACATGTTGATTATCTGTATTCATTAATATTATTCAGTGTCTTGATATCTACAGCAGTGATGCAAAGTTTGAACGATCCTTAGGAAAATTATCCATTTAATTTATTGCCAAAGGGGGAAAGAGGGTGACTGAAATGATACTGATGGTAAATTTTTAAGGTAGAGTAGGCATTTTAATTTCTGAATTTTCCTTTCTATAAACAATATTTGGCCAATTTGCTTGGTGACTTGATTAATTGGTCTGGAATAGAATAGGTCCAATCTGACCCAATACATCCCTTGTTTGGAGTAATATAAGGGACTGCACAGTGGTTACACCACTCTCCAAATCATGGGAAGAAATTATCAAACGAGCTGGATATAAAAGTTTTACTGTAAATGTACACTAAAAAAAAAGATTGTCCTTCTCCCAGTTCCAAATAAATTATTACAAAGGTGTCTAATAAATGCTATAATAAAGGTATGTGAGCACTGCTATAAGAGTTCTGAAGTGGAAACAACTAATCCTTCATGAAAATGTTGGAGTAAGTTATACAGGGAGTTCTTAACTATAAGTGGGAGAGTTTTTATTCCAAAAACTGTGAGGTTAGTAAATATGCCATATGAAAAAAGGTTATAGGGCAGAGGGAAGCAAGAGAGAGAGGTTGAGATCAGAGTTTGAAAGTCTTCAGAATCTATCAACAAGTTGGGAGCTTGTTCTGCCACAATGGGACTCATTGGAGGGCTTCCATTAGAGGAGTGACACAAGCTGACTTGAGCAGAGGACAATGGACAAGTGACTGGAAGCTTTCCCAATATTTCCGTCAAGATGAGTTGCCCTAACATAGGAAGAAGCCTGAATTCAAGTTCCCAAAGATGGCTTCACGCTGCATACCCACTGACCTGAATTCTGATAGTCCAATGACTATAGTGCTATGACTTCACTCATTCATTGGCCCTTATCTTCTTTTGTGTGTCACCAGCCATTAGCACAGTGCTGAACATAAGTCATTTTAGTAAGTGAGTTAAAGATATCTAATGTCTGGGAGGATAGAGCAGAGACGACATCTCAAGGTATTTGGGATGGAGAATTGGTGGGTCTTGGTGTCTGCGCCCTGGTTGTGCAGTTGTTAAGTGCTCAGCTGCTAACCAAAACATTAACAATTTGAACCATCAGCTGCCCCATAGGAGAAAGATGTGGCAATCTGTTTCTATAAAGACTTACAGCCTTGAAGGGGTGGTATCAGGATGCTGATCTAGCCAGATGCTCCATGCCTTCCCTCTATGGCAATGTAAAACAGATGTATATAATAATCCTGGAACCCTGAGCTTCAAACGAAAGGATAAAATAGTAGATCAAATACCAACTAGAAGAAGAAACTGAATGAAAGCAGAGAACAAAGAGATACATGGAGCAGAGGTGACTTCCAGCCAGTCTAGTGCAGCATGATCATTTTGAGTCATAAGAAGGCAACTTCACAGAATTCCCAGTAAGTCAGACACAGTGTAGACAAACTTGTACTGAAGCAAGGTGAGCAGAACATGAGCTCGATCTAAGGAAGGGAAGCACAAGAAAGCAGGCTAGAACTGCAGAGACTCAGGTGACCATAGAGCAGGGTGGGAACCAGTAAATAGGGATAGAACCACTTATTAGTTGTGGACTGTGGTCATTTGGGTAGAGGGACTCAAATGGTGAGAATGGCCTGTGGGGTGATGGCTAGAGAAGCTGCACGCCAGGTGGCTCTTCCCCTTACATTGAGTCAGAGCAGGAACCAGATAACTGGCTGCACTGGCACAGGAATGTACTGGTGACCATGTCCCTGATCAGCGACCAGAGAAGTCCACTCTCCCTGGTGATCAGAGGAGCAGCTCTATATCATACTCACCCACCTGAGGGCTGATGAGGGCACTCTCCTACTGCCCCTCCCCTACTTGACCTTGTTCTGTAAACCTTCACCCAAACTACAGTAAAAAGTTAAAAATAAATAAAAAAGCTTCATACCTTTGTACTCTGTCCTGTAAAGAGCTCTGGTTGTATAGTGGGTAAGGCATTTGGCTGTTAACACGAAAGTCAGTGGTTTGAACCTATCAGCTTCTCCATGGAAAAAAATGAGGCAGTCTACTTCCATAAAGATTTAGTCTTGAAAACCCAATAGGAGTTGCCATGAGTTGGAATCGACTCAATTTCAGTGAGTTTGGTTGTTGATACTCTGTCCTGTAGGGGTGCTATGTGTTGGAATCAACTTGACAACAACAGATTTTGTTTGTTTGTTTGTTTGTTTTGTTTTTGGTGCCTGAGAAACAGCAAAGTAAGAGTCTAAGTTTCATTCTTGGGCAATTGGTAGATGGGGTGGCATAAAAGAAATTGATGTTGGGTAGAGGAGTCCAGTGAGTTTGGTTTTGAATATGTTGATATAAATAGTCAGGTGGAATGTGAAGTGGAGATTTCAAGAAGAAACCTGGAAATAAAAGGCTGGAACTCAGAATTTAAAACAGAAGAAAAAATCTGGAGGTTACAATTATATACATAGAACATAATGCCATGGGAGTGGCTGAGATTGCCTGGGTAAAGTATGGAGAAAGAAAAGGGAGGTCATGGGAGAAGCCAGGAAAACACTATAGCTAAGGGGTGAGTGGAGAAAAAGGAGCATGAATTATACAATTGGTGAATTTACCAAACCTGGTCCTAAGCCTGAGCATAAAGCCAGCTGGAAACCAAATGCATCATGCATTTCTGCAAATAAATTTTCATTTATTAACAATTACACTAGACAAAGGAGTGTTGAAGTGAACAATTAACTTTGGAGTAAAAAAGACAATAGAAATAAAATGTTATGAATTGGTGTAACAATTGGCCATATCCTATCCTACCAGGCGTAGAATCAGCCCATCACTGTGGCTGAAGAAGTCTTTAATCATAATAAGTAAAATGGCAGAGATCTACTCTTTTCCGGTGTACAGTTGTTCACATTTGCCACAACCTCTAGCCTTTGCAGGTTGTGGTGGGAGTTGGGTAGCAAGTAGCTCGACT